TCGTAAACCGAATCGAATTGGAAACTTTTCTTTGGTTCGTCTGGTTCGGTCTGGTTCTCAGAGCTGAAACTTTTCGGTTTGACCAACTTCTCTCGTTTTTGATCAAATTTATTTTTCTTTTACCAGAAGTGTAATTTCAATGGCGGCACTAAGCTTTTGCAGCTGCTCTTCTCCTCGAATTCTTCATCAACAGTCTAAATCGACCCTTTTCCCTTCGGATTTTACCCCTTCAATCGGAGAATTATATGCGAAACCCATCTCTGTTTCGAGACGATTTCGTGGCACCATTAACGCCACCGTAACAGTTTCCGATTCATCGGGAAACGTAAAGTCATCATCTTCTCCGGCGAAGAAGCTAAGGGAAGTTATAAAATCTCCTGGTGTTCTTCAGGGTCCATGTTGCTTCGATGCTCTTAGTGCCAAACTTGTCGAACGAGCTGGGTTTCGTTACTGTATCACCTCTGGTAATGATCTATATAAATCGGATATGGATGATCACTGATGAAATTTCTGAACCGATTCCTCACGATTTGTATCTGATTATTGCGAATTTGATCTTCTACTGTTATTGATAAAGCTCAATACTTTACAGTTTCTAGCTTCATTGAAATCGGATAATCGATCTTTCAGGATATAAATTCCTTGTGCTGATTATCTGTCTATGCAAATAGGTTTCTCAATTTCAGCAGCTCGGGTTGGTTTACCGGATAAAGGACTCATTTCTTATGGAGAAATGGTTGATCAAGGTCAACAAATTACTCAATCTGTATCGATTCCGGTGATCGGAGATGGTGATAATGGTTTCGGTAATGCGATTAATGTTAAGAGAACCGTCAAGGGATATATCAAAGCTGGATTTGCAGGAATTATCATCAATGATCAGGTTTGTAGTGGCGATATTACGCGTGAGAGAAGAGTGGTTTCTAGAGAGGAAGCAGTGATGCGTATTAAAGCTGCGGTTGATGCACGTAGAGAGAGTGGTTCTGACATTGTCATTGTAGCGCAAACTGATTCCAGAGAAGCGATATCTCTGGAGGAATCGCTGAGTAGAGCGAGAGCTTTTACAGATGCTGGAGCAGATGTTCTCTCCATTGATTCTCTTGTTTCGAGGGAAGAGATGAAATCGTTCTGCAATGTGTATCCACTGGTTCCTAAATTGGTAACTTCACTTTCCGCCGGACAGTATTCTTATTTATCTAATCTTGATACTACCGGGAGAGATATGAAGATACATTTGTGCGCTCTTTGTGTAGGCTAATATGCTTGAAAGTGGAGGGAAAATTCCAATACCAAACCCACTTGAGCTAGAAGAGATTGGGTATAAGCTAGTTGCATATCCAATTTCCTTGATTGGGGTATCAATTCAAGCAATGCAGGTGACGATTGTTTCGCCAGCAATGTGTAACCTCGCCGTACTAGCCAAGAGACTTAAATTATGTGGTACACTTGCAGGATGCTCTATTAGCGATTAAGGGTGGTCGAATACCTCCACCAGGAAGCATGCCTTCTTTAGAAGAAATCGAAAAGATTCTTGGTTCTGACACATACCGTGAGGAAGAAAAGCGGTACGCTACCTCCGCATCAGATAGAGGTGAGATACATGAAGGTTTTCTGCTGTATCATCTTTGCGAGATGTCAATCAATAATATATCGGTTATTTCCCTTTTTAAGCACCGGGCAGTAGCAGACTCTATAGTAATCAACGAGTGGCTCAAGAAGATGAATCTGAACAGAGAGAGGACCCGATTGTTGAAGTCATAACACCTGAGGTGGTTTATAATGAATCAAGAAATCCCTTTTCAAGAATCTGGTCACGATCTTTGAGGATCAAAATCATTGGACGCGATGGGTTTGAGAAGCTCGATGTCAGAATTCCGGTAAGTCTTTCTTTTGCTATCCGTTTTTTTCTTTTGTATGAACTGATGCAATACTCGTCTAATGGTTGAAGCAGGCCGGATTCTTGGAAGGTGTCACCAACATTGTTCCAGGTATTTCAAAACTCAAGTCGCATTTGCTGTCTTCTTGTTTTGTTTCGATTTTCTTAGGCAAAGTTATTGACTAACCCTGAGATTTTGCAGCTTTAGGAGGCGTGAACCTGAAGCAATTGATGGACGATGCAGCTGATGAAGTGGGAGGAAAACTTCTATTAGATTTTAAGGACACTGGCGGTGACAGAATCCAAGTCTTTTTAGAATGATACACACAGAAAAAAGTAAAAACAGTCGAAAAACATGTAAACAAAAGAGAAAATGAATAGAACTTATTTGTTCCGTGATTGGAAATTGTTTTACACATCTTCAATACAAGAAACCCAAAAATAGAAAGAAAAGAAGGAATTGTGTATATTTCAAATTATATGCATATAACAAAAAGGGCAGACCCGAGCCAGGTTTGCCACTCTCACCGGTACAAATCTCACAACAAGCTCTCAATTTGGTCCAATACTAAGAACAAGAAAAAATAATGATGAGTCCGAGGAACCGGGTTGCTGTGATGAATAAAACCTGAGTACTTCCGTGAAGCGGCTGGCCAATCCGACTACTTTTATCGACTGATATTACATATCCGAGGTAAATAAGAAAAGCACAGAACGGAAACAGAGGAGTGTTTTGTTCTTGATTTTACAAGTGGAGTCTAGTGGGTAAAGTTTTGGCTTGATCTTACCGGTATCCACCACCATAGGATTGTTGAGGGTTGTAACCACCTTGACCCATCATCGGGTTGTAGTTGTTGCCAGGCATGTTTGGACCAGGGACCATCCCGGGGTTTTGTTGTTCCATCGGATAGCCTTGGCCATATCCCCC